GTCTCTTTCTCTGTGTTCCTCCGTGTCTCTCTCTGTCCCTCTGTCTGCGTGTGTGTCTCTCTCTCTGCCCCTCTGTGTGTATCTTTCTCTCCCTCTGTTCTTGTCTCTCTCTGCCCCACTGTTCCTCTGTTTCTCTTTGCCCCTTTGTATGTGTCTCTCTCTATTTGTGTGTCTCTCTCTGCCTCTGTGTTTGTGTGTTTGTCTCTGTCCCCTGTCTCTCTCTCTGTCCCTCTGTGTGTGTGTGTGTCTCTCTCTCTCTGCCTCTCTCCTGCTCTGTCTCTTCTGACCCTCTCTGTGTGTGTTTGTTCGCCCCTCTGTATGTCTCTCTCTCTCTCTGTCCCTCGGTTTTTCTGTATCCCTCTGTGTGTGTCTCTCTCCGTCTCTGTCTCTCTCTGTGTTTGTCTCTCTCTCTCTGCCCCTCTGTGTGTCTCTCTCTGTCTCTGTGCATGTGACTAAACGGAACTGCCTCATCCAAAGGCAGTACCCCTCTGAATAAGCTCAGAGGCAGCACCATGGGAAGGCTTTAGCCTCTGTTTGTTCGCACTCCAGGGCAGGTGGTTGACTGCTGTGTGATACAGAATGCTGGCTGGATTCAATGGACCATTGGTCTGGTCTAGTGGAACACCTCTTATGTTCTTAGAACAACCCATCTTGTGACATTGAATTCCGTAAGCAGATAATGTGTTGTGTAAACAAGTGTTGTGTCCTGAATCTACAGCCCATCAGTTTGGCTGACACTGCATAGGACTACACTACAAATGTTCACGTGTTGTTTTTCTTTATTTACTTTATTTACGTCCCACATTTCTTCTCATTGAGGACCCAAATGGGCTTCCATAATCTTTCTCCCATTGTATTGTCACAACAATGAGGTAGGTTAAGCTGAGAATATGAGACTGGCCCCAAAGTTACCCAGCAAGCTTTCATGGCAAAGTGGGGGTTTGACCCTGGGTTCCCAAATCCTAGCCTGACACTGAAATCAGTATACTACCATATGGGGTGGTGGATCAAAACTTTATCCACTTCTCCCACAGAGTGATGGATTTCAATAAAAAAGACTGCACGGAAGAGTTAAATCAACATTCCCTGTACCATAGACTTGATCCACAGGGAGTGCTCATCCCCAGGCTGTCCCCCCCCCCCAGTTAAATCTTTCTAAAGTCGTGATCCTTTACAATTTAGCCCTTAGGGAATATTGCCTTTTCCAGTTTGTTCAGGATCATGACAGCATTTGCGAATGCACTCTTTTTTGTTTTTTGTCACATTGAGCTTTTTAGGGGTATAGCAAAGATGTTACAAACATGCAGCTAAAAATGCAAAGTGCCAATGCAGGTGGTTCAAAATATATGCATTCTGCAGATCTGGGATTAGTTAATGTTCTGTGTTGAATGTAAACATTGTGTTAAATCATGACATTGGGAGAGTGAGGAAAACCCATCAGAAATGTCTGCGACTGTGTTCCTGTGTTCCGTGAAGGAACCTGACTGCCATAAGTCATGGGCAGCTTCTTGACTTTTGCAGCTGCCATTGGAATCTGCAGAAGGAATGTGTTCTGATTCACACTGTTCGTACAAGTAGACCATTTATTTGAACAGTTTTTTTGCAATAATTTATTTTTCATGTAATTATACAGGTACATTGGTGTGATAAGAACATAACTTCCTTTTACAAAACAAACCAACCCCACTCATATATAGCAAAGGTCACTGCTAATTTGCCCTTCTAAGGAAGGTAAAAGGTAAAGGTAAAGGTTCCCTTGCTCGAAAGCCAGTCGAGTCTGACTCTAGGGTTGCGGTGCTCATCTCCGTTTCAAAGCTGAAGAGCCAGCGCTGTCCGAAGACGTTTCCGTGGTCATGTGGCCGGCATGACTAAACACCAAGGTGCACGGAACGCTGTTACCTTCCCACTGAAGTGGTACCTATTTATCTACTTGCAATTTCTTGCTTTCGAACTGCTAGGTTGGCAGGAGCTGGAACTAGAGACGGGAGCTCACTCCGTCATGCGGCACACTCGGGTCTTGAACTGCTGAACTACTGACCTTCCACAGCCTGCAGTTCAGTGTCTTAACCACTTAAGCCACCTTCTAAGGAAACTGGACTTTAAAAAGCTGAACTCAGGAGGCTTTGTATAGCAACTATCACAAAAAAAAATAGCAATACTAACTTGATCTGTATTTTCATGCTTGTTGTAGGGTAGCTTCCGGTGATGCCAGGGGGTGTGGCATATGCAAATAAGTTATGCTAATGAGTTATGCTAATAAGCTCCTGCACCTCTTTTTCTGTGAAATGACCCTTGGTCATAAGTATGACCATTGCTTCAGTGTTTTCAACTAAAAAAAATATCTTTGGAAAAAATAATTCTGCTCTTCCTATAGCAGGTTTTAAAACACACGGCTCACTTTACCAAGTTTTGTTTCCTGCAACTAGTATTCTTATTAAAATATGCATCAATTCTTTTCAGTTTAGGCATCCCATAGGCCAGTTTCTCATTTTACATCATTTTTCCATGCAAGAGGGCTCAAAGGATTATTCAGTGATATTTTAGAAATAAAAATATGAGGCATTTCATTTGAATTACAAGGGAGGTCCATGCTACAAATACAGGGATTTCAGCTTTCATTAAAGTTCATAGGTGTCAGTGATGTAAAGAGATGGAAGGGGATTGGATGAACAATTGCTAGAAGGTCAGAACCAGGGAGACAAGCACAAGTAACTCAGATTTTTTTTTGGTTTTCCAGCTTCTAGGCTCACAGATAAAGAACTGTGGGCCTCAACCAACAACTTCCAGTTACATACTCATCTACCACACAATATACAAAGCATACTTTGCCCTGCATCTACAACCATTCCAACAGTATGCAAATTATGCTTATTAAATGCATCTAAAACATACATACATATTCAGGGCCATGATAACACTTTCACTGAACCCATCAATGAGGAACAGGCTTGCCAAGTCCTCCCTGGGGGGCGGGGAAAACCCCGCCCCAGAGGCCCGTTCCCCGCCGCCGCTGGATCAGGCCCCGGGGGGAACTCCACCCCGACATGCACGTCACCCGTAAGTGACGCGGGTACGCCGGGCACGCTGGGGGCAGGGCCACGGTCACCCGAGGGAAAACTCTATGGTTTTCCCTCGGATGGTCATGGCCCCGCCCCCAGCGTGCCCGGCGTACCCACGTCACTTACGGGTGACATGGATGCGGCACGTGCACGCGCTCCAGACGCCAGCCCTAATGAGGAACCAAATGTTTACCTATGTAATATTGTGATCAAAACAGTTTTTATTCATTCATCCAATGTCAGAGATGAGTATAAACAGTTTGGGAGGTTGCTTCTGAGGCTAATGCATGCCTCAGAAGTGTCCTATCCATCAATGGGAGAAAAGAAGGACATCAAAGCAAGCCAGTAATAATAAAGAATACTTACCAGGCATTCTTCTCGACAAGTTTTACTGACAGAGCAGATATCTACTCTCAAAGTCTTCTGATGCAAAGATGCTTGGGAAATGGCTACTCTGAACATCTCACTGAACAAAAGAGTTTCAGCAGCAGGGTGGACTTTTGTGCGGAACAGACAGCTGATGTCAGCTGAAGAAGGGAGGACTGCAACTCTAAAATATCTGTGAGGTAAAAAAAAGAAAGAAATCCAAATATGCATCATGAAGTACCTCAGTGTGTTTCATTAGCCCATGAGACACTATTAAAATATATGGCTACTTGATAAGATTTCAGAACAATTCTCATGTTCAGGCGCGGTGACCTTTTTGCTTAGTGCATTATGTTGGCCAAGGGGAAAGGTGTGCCACTAAATCTGGCCACTGGAGAAACTAGTTTAAGAAGAACAAACCCTGAAAATTGGCCATGGCAAGAAAACAGAAAGGCTCTGACTCAGAGGATGGGGGGAAAGTGAAGAACAGTAGCTCTTAAAATGTAACTTCCCAACTATTAATTCCTAGGTTTTACTCCAAGTTACAATGTCTGTTAATTTTTGAACATAAAATGTTGGAACCAATCAGCTTTCCTGCTGGTGACAAAGAAAGGTGAGCCCCCTCTGACCACCCCAAAATGCTATGCTGGGGCTCATGGGACCCGTGTGTACCAAAGCCCTACGGGGTGAGGGTAGCGAGGAGGATAATCTGGGGAGATGACGTGGAAAAACCTGGCTGGATCCAACCTAGAGAAAATTATTCTCAGTATAACCTTTGATTGTATTATTGCTATTTTTAATGCTGCAGTTAATGCTGCAGCTAGGATGGTGGCCAGGGTGGGCTGTAGGGACCATATCACTCCTGTTTTAGCCCAACTACACCGGCTCCCAGTTTGTTTCTGAGCACAATTCAAGGTGCTAGTGTTGACCTTCAAAGCCCTATATGGTTTGGGGCCAGAATACCTGAAGGACTTATGAACCTGCCTGACCACTACCATCATTTTTGGAGGCCCTGCTTTGGGTGCCCCAAATGTAGGTGGCTGGCAACCTGGGAGAGGGCCTTCTCGGTCATGGCACCAAAGCCCTGGAACTCTCTCCCCAGGTAGATTTGTCAGTCCCCTTCAGTTGCCAGTGGGTGAAGACATTTGGCATCCCCTCAGTGATCCCTCCTTCCTAACCAATATTTTATGTTTTGTATGTATTTTAACTCTGTTTTTAAATTCTGTTTTTAGTTGTTTTAATGATGTGTTGAGGGTGTGTGTGTGATTTTAGTGGTTTTAAAATGTAATTTTCAGGGGTCTTGTTGTAGAAAAAGAGCTGCCGGAGCTCATTAGCATAACTCATTTTTGGAGGCCCTGCTTTGGGTGCCCCAAATGTAGGCGGCTGGCAACCTGGGAGAGGGCCTTCTCGGTCATGGCACCAAAGCCCTGGAACTCTCTCCCCAGGTAGATTTGTCAGTCCCCTTCAGTTGCCAGTGGGATCCCCTCAGTGATCCCTCCTTCCTAACCAATATTTTATGTTTTGTATGTATTTTAACTCTGTTTTTAAATTCTGTTTTTAGTTGTTTTAATGATGTGTTGAGGGGGGGTGATTTTAGTGGTTTTAAAATGTAATTTTATTATGTATGTTTAGAAGAAGAAGACAAAGACAAAGAAGAGTTGGATTCATACCCCGCCCTTCACTTGGAGTCTCATAGCGTCTTACAATCTCCTTCCCTTCCTCTCCCCACAACAGACACCCTGTGAGGTAGGTGGGGCTGAGAGAGCTCTTTCAAAAACTGCTCTTGAGAGAACAGCTCTGAAAGAACTGTCACTAACCCAAGGTCACCCAGCTGGCTGTATGTGGAGAAGTGGGGAATCATACTGGGTTCTCCAGATTAGAGTCCGCTCAGGCCCGTAGCTAATGCATGGCCCATGGGGCGCGCCCCCCCGTGATTTTAACGGCCCCTCCCCAATTCTTGGCTCCCCCCTCCCCACACCGTCACTGCCCTCAGCCGGTGACTCCGCACCGCCTGCTACTGCCCGGGACGTCCTTGCTGCTGCTGGGAGGTCAGAGTGAAGGGCTGCTGAGCAGGGATACCAGCCACGCACCTCCCTCCTGGGCATCTGCCTGCCTCCCTCCCTGCCATGGCCAGCCGGGCTCCCGTGAGGAGGAAAAGGAGGCACCCTCCTCTCTCCCCCTCCCCAGCCCCTGCTGCTGGAGACCAGCTGGGGGGCTCCTCTCCTCACCGCCTCGGGAGCAGGTCACATGGGGCAGGCTTGGCTTGGCTGTGGTCTTTCTCTC